TATACACACACAAAACACATATACACAGACTGGGCCACAGCAATGTGTGGCAGAGGACAGCTAGTATCCTATAAACTCACAGTGACTGTTCTTACAGTCTTTTTGTCGTGAGAATTGGCTATTCCTTGTCCTTGTGGGTATGGGTTTTCAGTCCTTTGGATTTGTTAGTCTAGAGTCCCCTGGTTAATTAAGGTCAAAGGAAAGAGGTCTAACTTCCCTCTTGCTTTGTTGTTTCCCTAACGTAGATCACTCCAGAAGACCTACAGAGTGTTTGTGTGCGTCTCTTTAGCAACCAGATGAGGCAGAGTGTGGCCCACAGCATTGACTTCACAAGGCCTGGAACTGTAAGTATAACCTTCTCTCTGATGTTGTAGGTTTAAAAGTCGGGCTGTTATCTTGTAGGTAGAGAATATGTACATATAGGTAGAGATTAGGTGAGCCTTGCTTGCATTATTCCTCCCAAAGGTGTAATGGAGTTGTGATGTGCGAGTGTCCTTGAGCAAGATCTTTTTTTGCTAGTTCTCATAAAATGGACTGTCAGCTTTATGTGTAAGAGCCCTGTGACACATTTACATGTGCAGAGCACTCTTTTGGTGTGCATATAATATCTTGTTTGGGCAACATGGGACAAGATGCTATATATTTTCATTTTATGCACGGAAACATAGGTTTGCGAGGGAGTGTCTTGGTCAAGGCCAAGTTTGTGACTCCATCCAACCAGATCAGAGCTGGTGGAAACAGACAGGCCTTTGTTTTCATTTGATGGTTCTAGACAGGTACAGAAAGACTAAGGGTACCACCCTTTTTTCATATTGCCCTGAACAACAGCCGCCTCGCCATAAAACTTTTGCAATCCGAGGAGCTGTTCCCTTTCACGGAGTCCCCAAAGGCCTTCTGTGTTGAGAGTGAAGAAGCTTCAACACTTGTATGGAGATCAATTAGGAACAAAGGGATGACCACGGTCCATGCCTGCTATCTAGTTTTTCACCTCTGCTTCTCAGATCTATGTAACTCAAGGTGTTTTGCTTTTTGCCTGCATCGAAAGGTCACTTCCCCTTTCTTCCCTAAAGCTTTGTTACCCTTTGCTTAGAAGAGAGCATTATGCCTCAAGACCTGAACTTAGACCCGATAGTCAGCATTGACTCTCCTGCCAAAGTTCACTTCCTTTTGTCTATCAACTCTTTTATCTGAGATGTATTACCTGCAGCAATAAAAAAATGTTTACCTTTCTTAACCTTCCCAGAACATCCTGCATATTTTCTTTTCTGTTTCCTGCCATAATGCACTGGCTGAGTTGGATTGTATTCTGTTATAGATACCAAGTATAGATACCAAGCTGCCTGTCTTTCGCAGCTTCTGGAGATCAGCTGCCTTGATCTGAAGGTGCCAAACCCTGAGCACAGTTCCATTCCTTCTCTCTATCAGGCAAATAGCTCTGGACAAATGTCATCATCATCATCATCTTAGGCTATCACTTGTGGCTGAGTATGATTGCCTTCCAAGTGTAGGGTCTTGGTGGTGGGTCCATAAGTGTATGTAGAGATCTTGTCTAGATCCGCAATGTTATAATTAATTGTGCCTAATATCAACGAGGAAGTGGATTGTAGGATTTTTGAGCCTGTGAGCCAGCATGAGATTTTAAGTTCTGAAATTGAGCATTCTCCTGCAGTTAGGGAAGGTGAAGGTCACATTCTAGAGAGGGGCCCAGAGAAGTCTTTCTGTAGGGATAAATGCCAGGTGGAGAGGTTCATGAGTTGTTAGATAGGAGGCTTAGTTTTCATAAACTCCAAGCTGCTTCACAGACTCAGTGAAGGTCACAACACTTGGAGCCCCCGGTGGCGCAGTGGGTCAAACCCCTGTGCCAGTAGGACTGAAGACCGACAGGTCGCAGGTTCGAATCCGGGGAGAGGCGGATGAGCTCCCTCTACTAGCTCCAGCTCCTCATACGGGGACATGAGAGAAGCCTCCCACAAGGATGATAAAACATCAATTCATCCAGGCATCCCCTGGGCAACGTCCTTGCAGACGGCCAATTCTCTCACACCAGAAGTGACTTGCAGTTTCTCAAGTCTCTCCTGACACAACAAAAAACAAACAAACAACCAAACAACAACACTTGTTAAAGAAAAAGCTGTTATCAGTTTGCGAAGGCAAACCTCATGATTTCATGGCTTTATTAGAGTGACCAAAGGGATTTTTCAGCAGTCTGGTCAACATTGGAATTTGAAGCAGCAACTCTTGTCAAGTTCTACTCAAGTTTGCTAAGGGAATTATAGTTTCATGTTTCCAGTGGTTCATGTTCAATGCTTTCAAGTTTAAAGGATAGTTCCTGAATTCTTTGTATTGGATTTTATGCTGCCTTGTGTATCCTGATTCTTTTGCATTCCTGGTTTTTGATGCAACTATTGTATCTTGGATCTTGTGGACTATTTCATACATTTAGACTTAGATGGTTTTTTAAAACTATTTTTTGCTGAACTCCTTTTTATATATTCTTCAATAAACTGCTTAGCTGATTTACATTGGACTGGGGTATGTGGTGGTTAAGTACGGAGGTGATTTCTGCCCTGGAATACAACACATATGTTCTTTTGAAGTGAGGACATCAATTCCCAGATGGAAGGCGGTCCCAACGAGGGTTGGCTTAACATGCCTTTCTCTTGACACGTTAGGTAAATAAGGATATGGTGGACCTTTTTCCATCCCTGTTTATTTATCTATATATAAAAGTCAGTATGTATGTTTTTTTATTTGTCTGTCTATCTGTACCACAAAGGCTCTTGCTCAGTAAAGTGTCACTATGATGTCACTGGATTGACTGTTGCTAGGTGAAGGATTGGGTGAATCCTTCACCCTTTGTGTATGAGGAGAAGGGAGGAAGGAAGGAAAGAGCAGTCTTGGAGACATTGTGAGGTAGACCGTCTCACAGCTGGAGAAGGGAGAAAAGAAAAGAAAGAGAAAAAGAAGCAAAAGAAAAGAGTGGAGGAAAAAAGGGAGAGAGGAAGGGAAGGAAGAGAAAGGAATGGGGAGAAGGTATGAGGGGAAGGAAAGAGAAGAAAGGGGTGAAAGCAGGGAGAGTGGAGTGGTCCTTCCAACACCTGGGCAACACTGGGTAATAATAATAATAATAATAATAATAATAGTAATAATAATAATTTGAAACACAACAAGATAAGTCCACAGCAGACATGATCACTCAGCTGGCTGTTGTATTGAATCACACATTGGACACTTCCCAAGTGTCTCGGGATTGTGTGATGTATCGGTGAATAATGCGTGCAGATCCCAGTAAGGTGACCTTCTGCAGCTGTCAGATAGTAATTTTGTCAGCGCTGATTGTGTTTAAGTGCAGGCCAAGGTCTTTAGGCACTGCACCCAGTGTGCCGATCACCACTGGGACCACCTTGACTGGCTTGTGCCAGAGTCTTTGCAGTTCGATCTTTAAATCCTCATATCGTGTCAGCTTTTCCAGTTGTTTCCCTTCAATACTGCTGTCACCTGGGATTGCAACATCGACAATCCATACTTTGTTTTTTAACACGATAGTGAGGTCAGGAGTATTGTGCTTCAAAATATCAAAATTATTATTATTATTATTATTATTATTATTATTATTATTACTTACCCGCCCCTCCTCGGGATGAGTCACAGCACAGTCAAAACACACAAACACTGCAAAAATTATATAAACACACATATTAAAAAGTAGGTCTATAACGGATACATAATTATTCTAGAATTTTGTTACTTAGGCGATCCCTCGTAGTTCAAGGATGATGGTCCTCCAAGTGTAGTGTCCTGGTGGTGGGTCCATAGGTGACTGTGGAGCCCTATTCCTGACCTGCATGTTCTTCTGCAGTGAGGGCATTGGTTTCCAGACGAAAGGCGGTGCCGGTCAGGGTTGACTTGACGCGCCTTCCTCTTGGCACGTTTTTCTCTTTCTCCCTTCATTCGTGCCTCTTCAATTTCTACAGCACTGCTGGTCACAGCTGACCTCCAACTGGAGTGCTCAAGGGCCAGGGCTTCCCAGTTCTCAGTGTCTATGCCAGAGTTTTTAAGGTTGGCTTTGAGCCCATCTTTACATCTCTTTTCCTGACCTCCAACATTCTATTTTACGTTCTTGAGTTCGGAATAGAGCAACTGCTTTGGGAGATGGTGGTCGGGCATCTGGACAACGTGGCCAGTCCAGTGGAGTTGATGGCGGAGGACCATCACTTCAGTGCTGGTGGTCTTTGCTTCTTCCAGCACGCTGACATTTGTCCGCTTGTCTTCCCAAGAGATTTGCAGGATTTTTCAGAGGCAGCGCTGATGGAATCGTTCCAGGAGTTGCATGTGACGTCTGTAGACAGTCCACATTTTGCAGGCGTATAGCAGGGTTGGGAGGACAATAGCTTTATGAACAAGCACCTTGGTATCCCTACGGATGTCCTGGTCCTCAAACACTCTCTGCTTCAATTGGGAAAATGCTGCACTCTCCGAGCTCAGGCGGTGTTGAATTTCAGTGTCAATGCTGACTCCACAAAAAGACCTTTGTATTAAAACTTAGATAGCCCCAACAATCCCCTGGCTTCCTTCACAACTGTTTGTTTCTATGGCAAGCAAAGCTGGATTTTTCAAACTATCCATGCAGAAAAGAGATTGCACCTGGGCATATAACCATGTTTGCTGACCTCCTTTAGGTGATTAGCTTGCCTGTCTGCTGATCTTTTTATGACTTTAGTGTATTGTCGCGGAAGCTTTATCACTTTATTAGCTGGAGTTTCGTTTCGGATTTGTGGACTTGGGACTTCCTTTCCAGTCTGACCTCTGGTGACCCTTCCTGACCTCCCCACAGTTGGGCCTGAACACAGTTTAGAACACGCATGGGTAAACTTTGGCCCTCTGGGTATTTTGGACTTCAACTCCCACAATTCCTAACAGCCTACAGGATGTTAGGAATTGTGGGAGTTGAAGTCCAAAACACCCAGAGGGCCAAAGTTTGCCCATGCCTGGTTTAGAAAGTTTGCAAGCAGGAGTGAGGCGGAGTAACTATTGGATTGCACCAGATGCCACTGAGTAGAATTCTCTATCATTTGAGCTCCTTGGGAATAAGAATACATAACAGAGGAGAATGCAATGTGTGGAATAAGAGGGGAGGCTGTAATTCAATAGTGGCTGGTGCTTTCATGTTGATGTGGTTTTATTTCAGTGGTAGGGTTCAATGCCTTGTGTAAGCTCCATTAAGATTTGGAGAGCGCAGAACCATTTTACCAAAGTAGAAGTCCTGGGCCACCTTGATATAGCAGAGCTTCTTTGGGTTTTTTAAGGGACAGTAGATGTTTTTTTTAGGCAACTGACTGCAGTC